AGCATGAAAAAATAGAATATTTATATAAGTTTTTGTTCTAATAAAGATTTGCATTAAATTAATTAAAGAATATATAAGAAGAAAATATATGTTATCCCAAATATAATTTGTAAAATTAAAAATAAAAAACGATATTTACTGAAAAATGTTGAAATATTTCTATTTATACAGGAAAAATTAACAAGGATATATTACTTTTTATTACTAATTTAGTTTCAGTACAAGACTAATAATTTAGTTTTAGTAAAAGGGATTTTAGAATTTTTCTCAAAGGAAAGTTAATTTTGTTTAGAGAATCAAAAATTGACGCAATAAAGTATCCTTTTGCTGCTATTAAATAGATTCATGTTACCTTATATAAGAAGAGACAATATAAAATCCCGTTGCAAAAGAAAACAATTAATAGGAAATCAATTTCATCACAATTTTATTCCGAGACTTAACCGATTATAAAATTGACCGTTAATGCCATTAACATAAACGCGCAGACACGATGAATAATACGGCAAGAAGTCAGTTAATGCAAGTCAATCTTTAAACGATATCTCTCCACACGCAATCTTCACAGAACGACGAATGATCTAATACGTAAAAAAATGTGTGACGCGTGTAAAAAAAATAAGACTAAACGCTACTGGGGGAATTAATGTTGAAACGTGAATAAAATGATACGTCGCAGATAGTGCCATGCACAAAACGTGATCAAGTTCATTTATCTCGAGTGTACTTACGTCCGGTGCATCTATACTGTATAAAAATGCGCGTTACGTCGTCGCAAAGGTATCTCATTAAAATCTTCAAATGATAAATCAATCGGCAAATTATTCGTAAAAATTGATTTCATAATTAAATAATTAAATTCATTTTGTTATTTTATATAAGGATAAACTGAATATAAGAGCTAGTTCATAACTTTGTAGTACACATTAGACAGAAAAAGATACATTTTTTTGGATCATGAAATTTTTGAAAAGTTCTGAAATAGAGATTTTAAGCAGATTTCTTTTAACAAGAATTTAATTTCTAAGATATTTAAGATTGAAAGGGATAATCCTTCTCATGTTCTGCACTTTTGACATTTAATAATTCTCTTATTTCTTCTTTTCTATTCTATGATTTTTATTATATTTCCTTGTCTTTAAATTTTTTTTAAATCGGCAATTTATATAAGTTTAGTATAATTCCAAAAACTTGATAAAATATTTAATTAAATAATATTTTACTATATATTTACTATAGATTGACTATATCTTTTATTGCGCTATATGCTCGATTATTATATGATATTTTATAATGTTAGAAATAACTAAAAAATAGGCGAAAACAATATTCCAGTTATCCATAATCGTGAACAATGATTGTCCATTAGCTCCAGAGTCAAATAATTATAAAGTTAAAATGCGTTTTAGTAAAAACAACAATAGCTGACAGGAACGATCACTCAAAAATCATTTTAGTAATAAAATTATTCTTGCCAATGTTGAAAATGCGCAATCCGCGTCATTTTGCGTGGAAAAGTTTTCAGCTTCGGATATTAATCTTTTATATATTTGGGTTATTCAAATCAAAACCGGAATTTAGTTTTTAGACAGATAAAGAGACAAAATCATGACCAGTAAAGAATATTTATTTTTCAATATAATCTCCATTTACATCACAGCATTTTTGTAATCGACGTACCAATGCGTTAATATCGGCAGAATAGAAGGAGTTGTTCTGACATCTGAATCACGTAACACACACTGTAACAGACAGCTCCCAGAAAACCAAAGAAAAACTGCAAACATTTAGATTTCACATTGGTACATCGATGGCAAAAATGCTGTGATGTAAATGGAGACTACGTTGAAAAATAAATGTTCTTTATTGCTCATAATTTTGTCTCTTTACCTGTCTAAAAATTAAATTCCGGTTTTGACGTGAACGACTCAAGTAATTCTTAAGAAACTTGTTTCGCGATATTAATCGACATTAATATCTCTGTTTATTAATTATAGATTATATACTTACCAAAGGCAAATTATACTTAACAGATACGCATAAAGACTCGAAATAAACGACGCAAACGATGGCTTGTAATAGATAATGTCTTGCTGTGAATTAAAAATTTTCCATTTTCACAGTTTATTTCCACTGGAAAGTTTTGTTTGATTTTCCAACAGGGGAGTAGCATTACGTCAATAAAATTCCATTGATAATTCCTATGAAAAACGTTCTTATCGTTGGTCGAAGAATTATAATTTTTTACAGCTGTATTTCATAGTTGTCTCAAGCGCTTTGATAATTCTAAGCTTAAGAAAAAAAAATCTTGATATATATCTATAGAGAAATCGTCTTATCACTGTGATTACTCTTCTAATTGTTTTAATAAGTAAAAAAAGTTAATTTTTTTAGTGTATTTATTTTAAATAAACTTTTAATAACGTTTTATAATTAAATCCAAGAGTCTAATAAAAAAATACTCATATATTTTGCATTTGATTTTTTATAAATTTAGATCTAACTCTTTAGATTGCCATGGAATTCTAGCAGATACAAAGATACACACAAATGTGTGTGTGTTAGTCACAATAACTATGCGTTAACATTGTTTAGTTTTGCTACTATAAATTCTGTTTTAATACATATAATCTTTTTTATTAAACTCTTGAATTCTAAAAAGAAAAGATTTATTTTAATTGTTTCCTTTCTATTAATCAATATCAATTTTATAGTATTTACATTTGTTCTCACGAGAATAAAATTTAAATGTAATTTTATAAACATAAAAATACCAAACGGAATACTATATTATTTATTAGGTAATAGCAAAAGAGCAGCTCGCCTATATGATAAATAATTTTAAAAGATGTTTCCGTATCTTGCATTATAAAAATATATATCTGTTGTTATCTGTTAATTATTCATCGAAACTCTATAAATGTAACCTTTTACCTTAATAAAAATTTTATAAAAATCCATTTTATATATTTTCGCCGCCAAAATCTCTTAATGCTAACAATAAGTACTTTGAGAATTAGGCCAGCCATCAAATATTAAAAAGCGAAGCTTATTTTGAAATTACTGAAAAGTAAGAGGATTCGTCATTTATTTACATTGTAGAAACTTAATTCATATTTATTTATATTTTTAACAATAAATAACTTATTATGATGTGACTTTCTTATTAAATATCTTCTATATAAAATAACTTCTGAATTTTAAAATTAACATTACAATAATTATTTATAAAAAATTGAAGTATGTCTTTTGACATAATAAATCTCTTTCAAAATTAATTCAATAAAAAATTATCAATAATTATAAATATTAAAAAGTTTGTGGAACTTTTCTATCACACAAAAATTAATAACAGTCGCATTCTCTTCTAATTTTATTTGTTAGTTCATACGGTTATGATATGAGGCTTTGCTCTTTTTACGATAACCTTGGCAAAATAAGAAATTAAATTGACAGTTGATTCAACAATCATTGTTTTATCAGTGCGCCTTATTGAAGAAGCAGAATAAATGCGCATGATATCATAAGGTCATGATTACAATCAAATCTCTCTTTGCATAAAGTGCATGTTGTATAAAGTGTATGAAAAGTAATAACTTTTCGTTTAAATCTTAAGCAATTAGCGACAAGATGAAGCATTCGTTTAAATGTTTGTTTCGAGCAACAATATAAACGAATGAATTCTAATTGCATATTTTGCAAATTATCAAGCGGAAAATAAAATAAACGAACATATCAAAGCTATTATTAAAGCAAAATTGTCAAAGCCATTCTAGGATCACAAATGTTATATATCTGTGATATATATATGTATATAAAGAGTTTACAAAATAATGTAAAACGTAATATGAAGAAGACTGTAAAAATAAAAATCTTTAAAAAATTGTTGCTTTGAATTTAAATAATTTTTATTGATTTGGAAAAGATAGAAAATATATTTGTTGCATTTGCCTCTTTTGTATATTATATATTTATTGTATATTATATATTTTTTGCAAATATATAGCACCTACAGCTCTTTTGTAGTCTACACAGAGAGTTTTTTAAGGATGATCTAATTAATTGACATTACGTCATTTGCAACTGTTTTATGTCAACTTTATTATTACGCTGCTCTGAAATTAAAATGTTAAATGTTATGGACCAAAATACAAGTTATAAAAATAGATTTAAATTTCCATTCGCATTAAATTTTTTGCAATTTTAATCTTAATCAGCTGTTAAATAGCCATTTATAGCTTCAACCGCACAATCTGCGTTATCGCCGTAAGATACCACTCGTCCGAAGACGATATTCACGAGCGAGAAAAAAAATAACGAATATAAGACGTACCTATTAGCCAGCAGCATTAAAAATTTTTCCATTCTCGAGAGCAGGATAGCACTATCGAGATATTTGTCGTATTCTGGAATAGACAGATAATAGCGTGTGCGCACACACACACACACACACATACACACATACACACACACACACACATTATCACACATAATTTTAAGAAAACGCGATTAATAGGGCTAATTGCTTTAGGAAATATTTATTCTAAACCCTCGACTATTTTTATGGTTGCAACAAGAATAATTTAATAAACGGAGAAAAATAAAGCGAAGATTAATATCGCAAAATATCATAGTTCATTTATTATTCACATAACACTTTATAATGAACATATAAAATGTTACTTTTATTTATATTAACTTGTCATAAATCTATACTAACTACTTGTTTTATATACTTCCCAAAATTCATAACAAATTATTTATTATATAGTATTCTTTTATTATTGTATATTTAGTTTTATTTATTGTTAAAGTATAAAAGATTGTTGAAATAAATGCAGATATGTCTCAGCTAACTAAAATTAAAAAAACGTTAAATAATATTTTTTTTTACACTGAGACACCCGGATACTATACAGATATCATAATTTACGATAATCGGAAAAAGATTTCACTTTAACAATCGATGATCACAAATGTAAGTGAAAAGTCATTTTATGTGATACATATATATATGTATGTATGTATATAATTTTTTTTAGAATATAATGTATACATTTAAATGGCAATCAACGAGAGAATATATATGTAAATGCACATGAAGAAATGTTGTACATCGCATGTCGATGAAGCTGCATAAGCAAGAATTATATATACCTATATCAAAGATTTATGATGATAATATATGTTCAAACATAAGTGTGTGTATGTGTGTGCGAAAAACTTATAAACTTGAAACTTATGTAACTTATGAACGAGATAGCAAAGAAGACGATAAATTATTTGTGAGATTAACATTTTCTTCTCAGCAACTTTGATATTTATTTTTAAATTTGTTTCTTCTTTTTGCATATCTCCTCACACTTTAGTGCGCCAAGATCTTATATCTACAGTTTAACTTAATAATAAACAACGTCTTAAATTTTATCTACGCTATTTGATGAATGTTGTTATTAAATCAACATTCGTATACTAATATACGACAGTGCAAGAATTTTCGCGTTTGTCAGTGCTATTCAGGTATTTGTCGTTTTGAATCGAGCATTGCCCTGTAGCTCCTCCTGAATCTCTTGAGAAGATTTTCCCTTAGTTTCCGGTATAACGAAGTATGTAAACGCAGTAGCGGCTACCATGATGCTGGCGAAAATCCAGAAAGTCACGTCCGCGCCTAATTCATCGTTCATCATCGGAAAAGTTTTTGTCACCAGAAATACGAGGAACCAATTCAACATCACGGCAATACCGGAAGCAACCGCCTTGGTCTCTGCAGGAAATAGTTCACCCATCAGCATCCACGGTATCGGACCCAACCTGCGCATAAAACGTAAATGATTTACTTTTTATTTTTTATGTTCATTATAATATAATTATAAACACTTCAGTTATAATTTTTACAATTTCGAAAAGATCTAAGCAGTCAATTTATATGATTGCTAATTTTAAAGCAATTTTTAACATCAAATCATATGTTTATAGCATCCAATGCAAATCTTATAACTAGATCATTTAAAAATGCAAATGCAATTTGTTGCAAAATTTACCCGATAGAGAAGGAGATCATAAATAATGTCAGAGATGTGAGCGGCAGCCAGCCTAGATTACTGACGTCATTTCCGTTTGCCTTAATATTGAAATACAGACCAAGAGCTACAAGACTGACTGTCATAACACTCGAGGAAAATATAAGCAATGGCTTCCTTCCGGCACGATCCACAATTATAGCTGCTACACCTGACATCACCGTCTATCCAAAACGACATTTCAAATAAACATCGTCATCCACGACGATTAGGTAATTAACAATAATTGCGGAAGATGGATGTAGATATACATCACAGATGTATATCACGCTGATTACGATTATCATGTATAGTTAAATCGCAAAAAACAAATTTTGGAGATAAAAACTGCACAAGGGATTATATATACAATTCATATAAATTCACGTTCGATAAATTAACTGGAAAAAAATAAAAGCTAAAATAATCCTTTAAAAAAATAACTTTAATCAAATTTTTGAGATTTTGTTTGAGAAAAAAGTTTTCTGGTCTATTCTCCGTCTCAAGGTAAAATAAAATGCTTTAGAGACATAACATTTTTTCAAATTTTATAAAAATTAATATTTTTACATAAGCTGGATATCGATAAGCGTACCTGAACGATAGCTACGACAATAGAGGCGAGTTCCGGCGACATTGAGCTTCCGGATGCCTGAAAAATGGTAACGGTATAAAAGATCACTGCGTTTATGCCGGACAATTGCTGAAAGAACATGGCACCCAATGAAGCGAGTAAAGCTTTTTTGGCCGCTCGAGTGCGTATAAGATCGAATATGCTTGATTTCTTTGACGCTGCCTGCTCGGCCTCCCGCTGGAACTCTGCGAGTTCCTCGGACGGATCGTAAGAATCACCCCGGAGGACTGCCATCGCCAATGTGGCTTCCGGTTTCCGCTTTTTATTCTGAAAAAATTCGAATTTTTATTCGGATGAATTTAGTCGATGACAAATTTGATCACATTTTACTCCGATTGTTACAATTATTTTCTTAGATATCAAATATATATAATTGTTCTTTAATATAGAACATTAAAGATATATAAAAAAAAATAATAACAAGGCACAAGTCGGAGGATCCATCGATTTGACCTACCACTAGCCAAACGGGTGACTCCGGCATCCACGTGAAGGAAGCAAAGAAGCCGATCTCTACAAGAGCGCAGATTATAGCAAACGCCGTGTAACTCAAGACAACTCCAAGCACGAAGGCCACCAAAATTCCAAACGTGAGAAATAGCTGGAACATGGCACCGAGAGTGCCTCGGGTGGAAGTCTCCGCAATTTCGGAGATATAAGTAGGTACGAGGACGCAAGCTGCGCCAACGCCGATGCCCACTATAAATCTTGCTACGTTGATCAGCCACAGCTCGGAGGCAAATATAATGATCACCCAGGACAGAAGAAACGGAGCCGTCAGCAAAAGAAGCGATTTTTTCCGGCCAATTTTATCGGCCATCGGTCCGGATAGGATGGCGCCCAGCATCGCGCCCAGAGCCAGCAATGAGCTCACCCAGGATCCTTGCTCCTTGGTAATGACCAGCCATGAATCCGGTTCGTACAGCTGAGGCAGGACAGGAGACGTCCAGGCTAGAGCGGTGCCGACGCCGATAGCCATTATGGAAGCTCAAGAGATTTAAATATAAAGTTAATATCAAGAGGAACAAATTATATGAAAAGGTTTATTACGGTTATTTAATACTCAAAAAAATTCAATATTATTAGATTAATAACGGTTGAAAGGATAAATAGATAATACGAATAAAATGATTCTTTTATTTACTTTTTCCATGAATTTAGTGAAATTACGCAATTTACAAATTGTTTTTAAAATTATTTTTTTAACGAAGAAATTTAATGTATGACTATTTTTTAATATTAGAAATTTAAAAGTTTTAAGAATGTGTGGAATATTTATTTCATTTTTTGGTGGAGAACTTCGTGCTTTCCAACACCTACGCATTCAGGTCAATCTTATCAGTTTATTCATTCAAACCGTTGCACTCATTCGATGAAACCTACAAATTATCATCTATCTCAAGAACGGTATATCTTCTTCGATAAGATATACGAACAGAATTTCGTAAACTCTTCAATTATTTTCCTATCCATTTTTTCATATAATGAAGTTTTTTTTCAAGCAAGTTATATTACTCTATCAAATCAGTGATAAATAATGACGATATCCGCACTATTAATAATCCAGAGAGAAAAAGAAAGAGAGAGAGAGGGATAGTTATATTCTAAATTTTTCATATATAATGGATACTAATCGCGGAACATTTAGAAACGATTATCTGACATGCGTGATAAGACGGGCAGCCAGGCCGAATTATTTTATCGCGCTTAACTTCAACTCAACTTAATAGTAAAAGCCGCCGTCGCGAAAAGACAGTGATGCATTATGATCTCTCAGGGATGAAATGGATCGATTCGTGGAATATAGTCGCACTAGACAGCAAATCCACTGTTCTTTAAGATCTCAAATCCATATCAAAAATGTATGTATGTAAATTACATCGCATTGAATTCGGATGGCTTATGGACGAACATCTACATCTTTCATCTCAGAGCAAAATGCGACACTCATTTCAATAAAATATTACGACCATCGCCGGGTTTCAGTCAGCGAAATATGAGCTTATTTGGTGCGCGGAATTTTATAATAATGGAGGGTCCCTAACAAAACCAAGGCTTTACTGTAATTTTGCAGAAAAATCATGAAACTTTAGAAAATAGTCTGCCGACGCGCGCGCACGTAATAATTCTTTTTTCTTGTGAATTTATCATTTATTATACTTGCGGACGGAGTGAAATTAATACAACAAGCAGATACATCTGAAATGTGAATATTGTAATAAAGTAGCAGAATTTGAATTTATATACATAAAATTACCAAACGCGCTAAATGTTTGTAGTAATTATGCTATGTTAATGTGTTAATGTTTTTTAATTATTAACATTGTATTTATAAAATTTTTTATAAAAACATATCAGGAATAATAAGTGACATAATTTTTTAGTATAATATTGTAGCATGTTCCCATGTGAAATTTTAACTGCTTACAGAATGAAAATTTCATTATTTGTGTCAGGTAAAAAATACGTGTAAATAAAATAAGTTGTGTGTAAATTGAAAAGACAAACGTGTAAAAGACGTATTTTTTTAAATGATCAAAAATATACAAGATTTTATCTCGTTAATAACGGTATTATCTTCTTCCGAAATTAAGGGGTTGATCGTTTTTGTGTAGATAAGAGGATCAAACTTCTTAACAAGTAAATTTTGCGGATTAAAAAGATTTTAGGAAAACGTTATCAAGATACATGTTGAATTTATATTTATTACTTAGCAATTCTGTTATCTCTATATACTTTTATAATCTAATAATTTAATAAATAACAAAGAAATATAATATCAGGATTCTCTACCACAATTCTATTTCCAAAAAATAAGGCTTATAAGAAATTACTAACAATTTTCAGGCGTAAGTAATTATTAAAGTTTGAAATGCCCATATTTCCTACAGTCAAATCAATTGTTTGCGCACATGATAGCATATCGTTAATCGTGATAATAGCATAACGATTATCGACTGACACGTGCATTGCAGTAAGCTGATACTATCTAAATAAGCAATTATTATCGCGAAGTAATATAGAGAAACTAACCTTGTAAAAGGGATAAATGAATTTAAAAAATTATGAGAATCTATAAAGCCCTATTTTATATTAATTATTTTAATTATTTTTTTCTTCAAAGAGAGAGAAAGAGAATGCATTTTTAATCAAATTGGACATTATTTATTTTTGACCTTTAAATTTTCGATGTTCAGAAAAGTGACACAAGCAATCTATATTTCTTAATTTGTGTTAAGACAATTTTTATTAATTTTCATATAAAAACAAGTCTTTTCTAAAAAACACAATGAAATAAAATCATAAGAAACATACATTAAAAATGTTTATTAATCTGATATTATTAATGTCAGATATTTTAATATTAAATATCGTAGTGCATGTATAGATTAATAAATGAATTGCGCAATTGCAGAGAGGAAATATTAAACATTATTAATGATTTATAATTTGATGTACAGGTGCACATTTATATATGATTTACAGGTACACATTTGATACTATTAATTTGACATAATATACTCCACATTCTCTTCGAGCATATTAGTTAGTAAGTAAACAATGAAAATGGAGTTTAAATATGTATGTTCACAACATATTCGACAGGTTGTTTATTAAATATATGATACGTGCGATCATTTTAAACACATATGCATAATTTCAAGCACACAATGATCTAGTTTCCACCAAAGTCGTCAATCCGATTCTGTTTCGGTGCGCATCGAATTTAACGTACTGTTTCCACTGAAAGTAGAATAGAAGCGAGGAAGATTGATATTTCAGTAGAGCTAACTTAACTTTTGCTTGTGAATGTAAATAAACATAATCCTTGACAAATTTCTCGTTTATTTTCCATTTTGATAATTAATACGAACAAATGGTAACTGTTACGAACATCAACATATAGACTATATATCGACTATATATTGATGGTTACGAAATAATGAAAAGTAAAGGTTGGCACCATCTGCTTTCAAGCGTTTCTACCGCCTAAATTTCGTGTCAATTCGCTGCCACTCCGACAAAGCTTGTAGATCGGAGTGGGAGTGAAATGAACGCAGTCAGTCGTATTTCCATCGACTTAAATTTAGTCGTACTAGATGCGAGTTAATACTTCGGTGGAAACTAGATCAATGATATGATTATATAGTGTATTAAAAATTAAATACCGGAAATAGATGCGAGGTACTGCCACAACTTTTTGCCTTCCCGATGTACAGGAGCACCGCTAATCATCCCGGTGCCTTCCATCTTCGTGAATCAGGTTACCCCTCCGAGGGTTTTAAAGCACAAAAATCAACGTTTGCGACACTCGGCGATAATTTTGTTTCGGAATCGCCCTTGACACGTTTCGCTCACCCTTTTCCCTCGATTTTCCGAGTAACACGGAAAAACACTAATGACGAAGAAAAAGCGCAAGCCACATTTCGGACAACGCGAAGCCGCTCGATGCGAAATGAACGATCCGTTACCGGGGCCATCGTATATCATGACCGTCACTATCTAGTCACCGATTATCACTAATCTTTATCGGTTATCTGGTTCTCTTATGATCGAAATAAGAAAAATTTAGAAATCACGATAAATAGAGATCGGCGAAATGAATGATGGAATCAAAAACGAACGCGCGGTGCCGATATAGGATGAACAGAAATACGAGCGGATCCATAGAACGTATCCTTCATAGAATCGACGTGTCGCTTCGGTTTCTCGTCCTTGATATACTTCTCGCAATTTTTGTATAATGAGGAAGAGAATAAGAATTTTTTTCGAATATTTTATTCCTATATCTCTCGATCTTCGAGCTTTTCGTGATACTTTGATAAGTTAAAGTAAGGAAAACTGGGTCACTCAATTTAATTTTTATGGGAGACTCCTTTTTCATGCAAAATAAATAACATTTTTTATATAAAATATATAATGATAATTTCGTTAAACTTGATATTAATAAAACATCCATTTGTCGAGCTTCTTAATTAATATAGCAAGATATAATTATATAACATAGTACTTTAGAATACTTTTTTCTAAGTAATCTTTGCCGGTTACCGTGAAACTTTCATTAATCCTAAAAAAGAAAAAAAGAAAATTGTGTCAGAGATAGCTAACTTCCTTAAAAAATTTATAATTTGTTACTTCGAGAAATTAACAAAAAATCCATACAGCGCAAATCAGTAAATTAGAAAGTTATGCGAGATAAAACATATATGTCTCTGATTCGTATTAAAAATGGGATAATATATATACAAACTACGCAATAATTATCTTATACGTTGTGAAATTTATTGCATAAACACACAGTATGTTTGGACTTATAAAATATTTATGGAATATTTTAATCAAATGAATCTAGCATAATTACATGAAACCACAGACTTCTATATATTATACTAGACCGCTAACAGAGGTCTTGCTAAAGGTAAAACCAGAATAGCTATTTACAAATAGGCAGAATATAATTACTGCACTAATGGACAGAATATTAATCAATATTTGTCTCTAAATAACTATCATTTAATACTTGTTTATACATTACAATAGCTTATATTTTAATAACTGCCGGCAAATTGAAATACGACACAGAGTAAATATTAACCCAACCTATATATTCTACCTAATTGTAAATGACTGCTCTTCAATGTTAGCGGTCTAGTATAATATATAAAAGCCTGTTCACATGAAACTATGTACAATGAGAGTATTCATCGTAAAATGAAAATCATTTTGACGTGAAAATATTCGACAATTTTACAAATAAAATAAAAGCTCTGTGAGAGAGAGAGAGAGACACACACACAAATGTGACCGCTTACCGTTGGTGAAATGCTCCCTTTGCCACTAGAATCTCATGTGAAAGACATTTCAATTCAATTTCAACTGTTGGTAGAGCAATTTTCGATTTTCTCCACCGTCGCGTCGAATTTCGCGCTTATTGATCGCGCAAACCAGATAGATTTTAAATTTAATGTATGAATAAATCTTTCATATATGCAAATTTAAAAATGTACAATTTTTTTATAAAATAGATGAAAATGATAAAAGTTTTAGAAAATAATTTATTATTACAGATTTTCTATTGTAAGTAGAAAAATCGATAAGAAATTTTCTAGTATAAGATATACTCGATAGAAATTGCGATAGAATCACGTCGATAAATCACTTCTATATTTGATCGTGGATCGATATCCGGAATGCGATCGTATTTTATCTGCCGTCTTCGCGAAAAATCCATGACGCCGTACGTTACAATACAAGTAAGAAGCCGTTATCGTAATTTTCTAAGTGAATGATAAATATACTTCGAGATTTGTTTAGTGATTAAATCTTTTTCTTCGATGATCTAATCCAGAGCTAATATATAATTTTTTCGTTATTATCGCATTGCTTCTTTAAACGCTTCAAAAGAAAGAGTAAAAAGTTAAGAAAATGCGATTTTATAAATCCAAAGAGTACAAATTAGGCTGACTCCTCTAATCAATGTATTATCGTTAAAATTTGCTGTCAAATAATTTAAGATAATATTAGTTGATCGCTCAAATGTATATATCTTATATAAAATTAATTATATAAAATTAAAATTATGTTTATATTGAAAATTGACAATTTGATAAAGGTATATAAAGAGTGATAATATTAAATTAATTTATACAAATAGCTTCTTGATCAAAATAGAATTGATTTTGTTATTCGGATAAACGTAACAATTTATTTACAATGATAATCTATTTATCAATATTACAATAATATGAAATGCAAAGTAGTGGAAAAATCGATAAGAAATTTTCTAGTATAAGATATACTCGATAGAAATTGCGATAGAATCACGTCGATAAATCACTTCTATATTTGATCGTGGATCGATATCCGGAATGCGATCGTATTTTATCTGCCGTCTTCGCGAAAAATCCATGACGCCGTACGTTACAATACAAGTAAGAAGCCGTTATCGTAATTTTCTAAGTGAATGATAAATATACTTCGAGATTTGTTTAGTGATTAAATCTTTTTCTTCGATGATCTAATCCAGAGCTAATATATAATTTTTTCGTTATTATCGCATTGCTTCTTTAAACGCTTCAAAAGAAAGAGTAAAAAGTTAAGAAAATGCGATTTTATAAATCCAAAGAGTACAAATTAGGCTGACTCCTCTAATCAATGTATTATCGTTAAAATTTGCTGTCAAATAATTTAAGATAATATTAGTTGATCGCTCAAATGTATATATCTTATATAAAATTAATTATATAAAATTAAAATTATGTTTATATTGAAAATTGACAATTTGATAAAGGTATATAAAGAGTGATAATATTAAATTAATTTATACAAATAGCTTCTTGATCAAAATAGAATTGATTTTGTTATTCGGATAAACGTAACAATTTATTTACAATGATAATCTATTTATCAATATTACAATAATATGAAATGCAAAGTAGTAAATATTCAGCGTCAATTTTACAATAAAATAATGTATAAAATTTTTAATATTTCAGGAGGGCAATAAATTGATTATAACACATGGTAATTTGGCCTTTATGATGTATAAGGTGTTATTGTTATCACAGGTGCTTTCGTGTTGTCATTCACAAGGCGACATTCAAGCAGTAAGGTAGTGACGTGAGACGCTTTGTAGAATTTCTTTTCTGAACGCGATCGCGACAAGTATCAGGAAATTATTTGTTATAATTAATATGATTAATAATTATCTTTTATATACGTTAAATAATACGTAATATATCACGATGATAGGTCTCAAAGCGCGATGTGTTCATTTAATCAAGTAAGAATGGAAGTGGCAGGAATTATGAATTATTGTTCCGTTGCAATTTTTAAGCAGGCAATAATGATTTCACTAATGATACTTAGAGTCAAATATATTTTGTCCTTGATACTTTATGTAAGGTATAGTGTGTGATGCAAGACGTTCCATGTATTGTAGAATTTCTATTCAAAACGCGGTTGCGATAACTTATTATTTTTTCTGTTATTCGGAAAAATAATTAATTATTTTCATGTATTTAGATAATTCAAGTAAAGAAGTAAAAAAGCAATTTTATTTATAAAATTTTATAAAAGCTTATAAAGAGAAGAAATTTTATATACACAAATCATTTAAAAAAAAAATTAGTTTTGAATAATCGCTGAACAGTAATTTATTCACGAGTTAAATCGCCGTAAGTTTTCTTTTCTCTCTCTATGCAATTTAAAAAAATAAACTTTATAAGAAAGTTATTAGGAAAGTTACAAGAAAATTTTTTCAAATATCTTTGCCATAATTCAAAATTTATTGTAAAAAATTAATAATTAAAAAGATGTTAAAAATAATTATGTGACACACTTGTATTAAATTCATTTAAAAAAATGTGTTTTTTAAGATACAAAAAAAAAGAGATATTTATCTATAATCTACTTTTAATAAATTACGAACGAATGCTACAATCTTTCAAATGTTATTCGGAGCCATAATCTTAACAATAAATCAAGGTCAAGGTTTATTGGGGCTGGGTTCACATAATCAATATTTTTACTTGCTAACGAAATATCCATCCAGTTTATCATCGAAAGTGTCGTCTTTTCAGAAGATATGAGTTATAATGTTTTACTCTAACTCAATTAAATATATTATCTTTGCAAAAAGAAGTAATTTTATATCATCGATAATTTCCAACTCTAAGACATTAAAAACCTATAAAATAATGTAAATAATAATAAATATGCAGATTTCTGTAAAAAATTATTTATTAACTTCCAAATACAATATTCCAATTTATTGCTTTTGAAAGGAGCTATCTTTTGCAGGACAGAAATGCAAGAAACTTTATTCGACATATCAAATTTACGAAATAAAATACGATGTAAAAAAAAGCAAACAAAAATAGAAAATTCGTCGAAAAACGCATAGATACTACAAGTAACAATAAGTCGTATAAATATTGACGAGAAAAAGAAAAATATATGCCAATTAAGTAATAATCGAGATTAATTTTAAAAATAAAGCAGCAGAAAAGTGAATTATTTTTCCAAGTAACAGAAGGATTTGCAATAAAATCATGTAATTGTGCGTAATTAAATTTGTGTAAGTGCATATCCTCGCGAATGAGAATAATAATTCATAATTTATATAATAATTCATAATTTATTTGCCACAAAATTTACTTGCCCAGTGTGAAATGAGAATGAGATTGCACTTATCTATGCTCAGATTGTAGTATATTATATTATGGTGTGTGATTTTTAAAGAATAAAATTCTATTTATATAAATAATGTATATATATACATAAGGAGTGTGGGAGAAAGGTAGAGACAAAAAGAGAAATAGAGAGGAAAAAAAAGAGATTTTATATTTCTGAAATCAGATTGTGAATGATTAGATTACGGTTCCAATTAAATACTCTCGTATTTGCTTGAGAATAGTGAGATTTTTTCTCAGCTCTAGAATCATATTTATATTTTGTTTAACATCTATATTGTATAGGTAAAATACTTCTATGATTTCAATATTTTTACATTTTATTTTATTATATTAGCCTTAATTAAAATCATAATAAATCTATTAATAATATAAATAAAATTCTATTTATATAAATAATGTATATATATACATAAGGAGTGTGGGAGAAAGGTAGAGACAAAAAGAGAAATAGAGAGGAAAAAAAAGAGATTTTATATTTCTGAAAGTGAGAAATTCTATATCTAAAACTATAATTTTGATCTTATGTGAAGTTTCACTATTTCTTTTAACAAAATTTGCGAGTCTTTGATTGAAATCTTCGAAATCCTTCAACACGTAGATCTGTAAATCCGTGAATTTCAAACTTTCCAGATTTTCAATCAAAAAACTTCGAAATCCAAATTTTCAACGTTCGGAAGAAAACTTTCGCTTTATGAATAGTGCTCCTCGCGAGCATTCAAATATTACAAACACGCTTTTCGCTATTAGCAATGGAAATATTTAATACAATAATCATCGCGCAATCGTCGCAACGAAGTGATGATCGATGCAAAGAAAATCGTATTGTTGTTAAGTATCTGTTTTACTGAACACTTTAATGAATCATACAATCGCAATAATGCGTCAGTAGACTCTTGAGTCAAAAAATCCGCTTTCGCAGTGTACATTTAACGCTAACGATATCTGGTTCTCATTCTTAATTTTATGCGATTTAAATTACAATACAAATGAAGAATTATATGCATTTTACCACATTTAGCGTTAAACATGCATTACAAAATTAGTAGTTCTCGCACTGCTCAAAGTTATCGCATAATTGAAATTTAAATAACACAAAAACAATACTTTTATTAATATCTCTGTTTTACGTGCCAGCACTTCATATGATGAAAATCCGAACTTGCATCAAATCTTTTAGAATTAAATAAGGTCGCCTGCAAAATAATAATTTTTCGCGGGCCGAGGTCAGAAGAAATTTAGGGATTGAAATTTAATGCTCAAATAGCAAACATTATTTTCTTTCCGAAAAAATGCTTCCTAATTGAGAAATACGTATTTACACATATAAATAAACAGATTAATGATAAAACATGATCTAATTTCTTTTCCCTAAAATTTTTTACTGACGTGGATCGCGCGGAAGCTTATAATTTTTACGGAACTAATATCTAAAAAAAATAATATCTAGAAATATACATCTAATTAATATGTAGATTCCTATCGCGAAGATATAATTTAACAAACACGAGAACTACTTGCGCGAATATTAGTGTTACTTATCAACGCTATTGTACATAGAATATTTTTAAAAAATATCATCTTACGCGCTAATAAGGCCTGTGTTTTAGGTATTTACGTCCCCATTATTTGTCGCACGTAGGACTGAATGTAAACATTTTCTGATAACGAGTGGATTAAATTGATCATAAATCATTACTTATCCATTATCATTTGATCCATGATCGATGTAACATGAAGAACGTGCTCGGTATAAATATAAAGGTGAGATTCGGACGGGGGGGGGGGGGGGGGGGGGCGGAGGGGTCGCTTCTAATTCTGAGCGCGCGGCGCGAATATATGCGGGAGCTTAAAAAAATACCTTAGATTAACTCACTTGCTTATCACCGTGATAACACATCGGCGCGTGTGCCATACTGGCGACGATTCCTGCACACACGTGCAATGTTTCTTAAAAAATAAAAAATCGACGCTGTCTTCGTAAAACGCATTACTGTCGATTACTGTCGCTAACTTACCTTAGGTTAAAACGTGCTACCGTAAAATCGTACAAAAAGTAAGGTTTCTTCTCGCTTTTTGGTGTGGAAAGTATTGGACATGGAGAGCTGAACTATTCTGCGACTGAGCAGGATTTATCGGGATCGGATTTCTGAGTAAACTTTTTCGAACCATTAAGCGATAGGTCTCTTGAGTCTTTGAATTGTCGGATTTACATGTCATGTCAACTTGAATCTCGTATTAGAATCCGCGCTTTGTGAGGATATTTTAATTTCTAGATCTATGAAACTTTAAAGCGTTGAATATCTGATTTTTATATCGTAAAAATTGTACTTTTTCGCAAATATCTCATATATTCTTCTCATTGCGGAAAAAACTATTACGGAGACAAGACTAAACAGGTTATTATTTAGCTTAGCCGCAAAAGAATTAATTTTTCGCCTTTTACTGCGATTCCTATTTTGTTTTACATAAAACTAAAATATTTAACATTATATTCCACAAGAAATTACGAAAATTTTATAATCTGTTGCTCTTTTACTTTCTCGAGATTAAATCAATTTCACGTTATTTCTCATTCAGGCAAAAAGAGAAGAACGCGTAGCAGAGGACGATAATAAGGCAATCTATGCACAAAGCCAATAATTTTTGCCATCATAAATATTTAATAGATACGTGAATTGTAATGAAAATCAGATTGCAGGTAATACGAGTTTTTTAACACAAACTGTTACGTGTTTAATCTATATGGAAAAATTAGTATCTATAATCTAGAAATTTCTTTTGTGTTTTTTATCATGTAAATATTCAGATAATTATTTGAATTAATATCTATGTATGAAATGAATTGAACATTATATGTAGAATGATGCCGTATGATTTTAAAGTATTTTATCGCGAAAGAAATGAAATGTCACAAGAGGACTGGAAAACGGTTCTGTGTTTTTACACGGAATCTCAGTCTTTATCGTACGTGTCATTTGCACACATCAATATAAAAATTAAAAAAGCTCTCTCTTATCAGGCTCGTTAGTTATTAATATATGTAAACTACATCTGAAGAAAAGAAAACGAGAAAAATCGTAGCACGTCTCACGATAAGACATACGCAGAGAGTCATGTATCTATGAAACAGATTTAAGGATTTGCACGTTTCCGTTATAGCAACTGCAAAATGTACGCATGTTTAGAATACGATATCACTATATTTTGTCCGCGTCGATGGGAAAAATCTTTGAATCATTTATTGACTGTTCGCATTCGATAAGCGTATATCAAGAACGCCGGAGAGTAATCTGAAAAAATTTTCGATTTTTCAATGCTACAAAGTTTATATTTTCAAATCTAGGATCATAATTGATCTTTTGGATGAGAGAAAAAGAAAGGGCGATGTATAAGAAGACCATATATAAGGAGAACTCGATGAGGGAACTCATAGATTTTATATAATTTATAATAGAGGTACATTATAAAATTAAAATATCTTTGAAACTTAAATTACAATTTGAATATTCAGAATCTTGAATATATAATCTCTCGAAATGTGATTCCCAGATTTTTTAATTTAATTTGGAGAATTTTGTATCTTTGAGCTTTTGAAAAATCAAAATCTTGATTTCTCAACTATAATTTTGACTCTCAACTCTTTGAATTGTTGAGTTGTTCAAAATATAATCATTATATCTTCCATTGTAACTTTGATCAAAATTCTTGAACTCGCGAGTCTTTCAATCAATAATTGTTATCAGCATACCCATTTTAAGTTGTAGATTAACATGATCCTATAAATTGCAGGAAAGACAGACTTACCTTTTGTTGAGTGCCAAAAAAATCCCGCAAAACACGAGACAATAAATTAGGAAATTCAACAGAAAACTAATTCTACAATTGGTTACTTCCGGTGTCCTTAATATCGATGGTGAATTAAATTGTGTGAGATCGAATGGGAAATCGCACTTTTGTTCGAAAGAAATATTTCTAGGCAGCGATTGAAATATTTAGAACGAATCAAAAGCGCAGCGAGGAGGGTTAATGGCGTCTCGAGTCGCTTATATTATATGTTTTATCTTGCGACAGACCCCCTCCTCCCTCAATCTGTCGCATTAACCTGAGTCAAGAATCAAAGTTTAAGCAGAGTATTATACAAAAAAATCGACTTTCCGGTGTCTGTCGTGTGTATGAGCTTGTATCTCCGGCTGGTCATCTTGTCGATGAAGCTTTTTGTCTCTGTCTCGCTGTGATTGGGATTCCAGCGTATTGACAGTATCGATATTCTTATAATGTCCCAAGGGATGGTGTCGAGTACCTACAGTAATTTTTAATAGCTTTTACAAGCTCTGCGTTACTCGTTATCGGCTATTTTTACAATTCCTTGATCGATCATATTTTAAAAGCATGCTTCCTGAGCAAAATTACCAGTCGAAATATATATTTAGCATATGTAATATATATTATTTAAATCTCAAAAGTAAAATACTATTTCCATTCTTGAATACAAAAACATGTCAAAAATATACGCGAAAAATAAATACATATACTTATATACACATATTATTTCTATATACAAAAATACAAATATTTATAAAGAGAGAGAGAGAGAGAGAGAGAGATAAATATATTTTATAGAACTTTTAATTTTAAAAAGAGAAAATTATACAAAAGAAAAATTATTTACCTGGCCATCGGGAGCGTCGGGACTGTCCAAATTTAGATAATCCAAGGTCGTAGTGTTATATGCCAACAATACGCTATAGAGGGGAAAGCACTTGAGTCTAGTGGTAGGAAAGCCGTCGTCCGATGACACGAGACTGTTAGGGCCGTCGCCCAATTTGGTGACCTGGACCTCCGACTCCTGGTGGTATTTTATCTGTAATATCGTTCGCGCGCGTGAAACGCATGCGTTCGACTTGTCATCGCGCTTCCATGTCGAAGGAAATACGATCAATCTTTCACCTCTTTGGTATCCGTGTCCGTGCTGAGACAGGCGTGGAGAACTTTCGATCGCGGATTCCTGGTGCTCCTCTGCGCCTCGAAGAAGCTCTTGGGCTCGGTTAGTATCAGAATGCCACGCCAGCTCAGATTGGACTCTAGCCAAGCTGTGCTAGAAATCACGCCTATCTGAAAAAAAAAAACCATGACGTTTCATAATGGTCGGTAACGGATTTATGCTCCCGAAAATCGCGATAGGAATCGAGAGATAAATCGAATGCACCATCGGCCTAATTTACGTCCATTTTGGTCTCAAATAACGAGAAAATAAATTGGAAAGGAGAGATATACCAAAACTCATAGAATTATCTAGTTCACCTATTTTTAACTGGTTGCGTGCCGATGATAATTTGCGTGTTTCGCTAATATTACAGTACACTATCGTGGATGATAAAGAACTGTTAGTGCAATATTACGGTATCTAATATAGGTATCTAAAACTATTAAAGCACCGATGTATCTAATTTTAGAATTAAAACTTAACAAATTGCTAAATGAAATGTACAATAAATTTTCATTGGGATAAAACTCAACACCAAATTTTTCCAGAAATATACTCCTCTCGTAAACTTTCATATTATATTTTACAATATACATATATGTATATGAAAAATATTTTGCAAATCTGTCCCTTTTATTAAACATTTACAAGAGCTTAACAAATTCCACATGAAGAAATTTTTAATTTCAATTTTGAGAATTTATATAGAATTCATATTTTCCTAAAAAAAGTTTCTTTATTATAACTTTTTAATATTTAATAGTGAAAATATTATACTGTTATATATACATATACATCCAAGTACATAAAATCTTTTTCTTTTCGATAATCATACGTAATATTTTTTTCTAACACTATGGGAAGGGATAACAAATTTTATCAAAATTTAAAGTTAAGAGATTTCTAATATTATCACGTGAAATAAAAAAAAAATTCTAAAACTTTTTTAAAGAGATACCGCTAATGTATAATGCAACTTACCTCAGAGCTGCCGCTTCGCTCCAAACCAGAAGCACGGCCATGGCGGTGCAAAACGCTGTGAGGAAGACCAAGCAGGGGGCCACTCTCATCCACCAAGCCCTTTTATAACTGGCAAACGATGTGCCGACCAGGCTAGGCCCTATAAACGGTGGCAGAGTTCCGTTTGACGAAGGTAACCCTGCGGGAGCCATTCTGCGGGAATAGAACGAACGTGTAAACACACGTTGCACGCAAATCATGGAAATGAAACACCCGGTGAGTTGCAATCTGACAACTTTGTGATATGTCACGTATTTTATTCTATTCTCGAAGCTTTCAACCCCAGGATCTTTGCAACAGCAGGTAAATATAAAGATTTTATGATCTTTTAACGGTATTAGAGTTTAAATATAGATGACCATAAAATCGTTTTTCAGATAATCTAAATCAGTTTAAAGAAGTAAAGGATAGTTGAAAACTGAGAGAACTGTAGTGAAGAAAATCAGTGAGAATTAATAGATATTACTGAAATGGGATATTACTCTTAATCTAACAATAAGTAACTTAATTAGTGACTAATAAAATCTTGCTTCACAATTAACAACGATTATTGATTTACAACGACGAGTATTATGAGAAAACGGTTCACAATTAATATTGATAAAAATAAATTTGATCTGAAGTTTCAAACTTCAAAATTGGCAAAGATAGAATAACTTTTTATTTAGAAATAAAAAATATTATGTAACTTTCTTCTCCGCTAAGAAAGAATCGGACGTGATATTCACTATAGAAGCTGTATGGGTGTTCTGAGACACCCTATACACGCGCAGCAAGGCATGCAGGTATATAAGTGTGAGTCACCCTGCACTTTCTAACCATCATTTTTTTCAGTCACGTTCAAGTGAATGCACACCTAAGGATTCGAGACAAAGGAAGACCCTCATGGATCAGATTATCACTCATTTGTTATTTATCACGAATCGTAATTATGCCGAATAGAAAATTCATTTTTGCGATTAGTTAATATCGTTTTATACGACATATTTATCAATTTTATGTTATATGTTCAAGTTTGTGTGTAGTAAAAAAATATAAAAAGCAATAATAAGTTTTTCTGTTTTTTATCCTCAAATTATTATAAAGAGCTATTATTAATATTTATTTAAAAAGTTCATATATCCTATTTATTTCTATCAGAATTTAATAAATTAAAAATATTATATTGACTTTTATATATTAAATCATAAATCATTCGAGGCGAAAAATTTTAGTAATAAGAGTTCGAAAAGACAGAGGGATAGAAAAGAGTGATTAATGTCAAAATTTTTATAAAATCTAAAATGGAATTTCATATTTTTGTGTACCAAGCGACGCGGTAGCGTTCCTATGCCAAGTACATAAAATCTTTTTCTTTTCGATAATCATACGTAATATTTTTTTCTAACACTATGGGAAGGGATAACAAATTTTATCAAAATTTAAAGTTAAGAGATTTCTAATATTATCACGTGAAATAAAAAAAAAATTCTAAAACTTTTTTAAAGAGATACCGCTAATGTATAATGCAACTTACCTCAGAGCTGCCGCTTCGCTCCAAACCAGAAGCACGGCCATGGCGGTGCAAAACGCTGTGAGGAAGACCAAGCAGGGGGCCACTCTCATCCACCAAGCCCTTTTATAACTGGCAAACGATGTGCCGACCAGGCTAGGCCCTATAAACGGTGGCAGAGTTCCGTTTGACGAAGGTAACCCTGCGGGAGCCATTCTGCGGGAATAGAACGAACGTGTAAACACACGTTGCACGCAAATCATGGAAATGAAACACCCGGTGAGTTGCAATCTGACAACTTTGTGATATGTCACGTATTTTATTCTATTCTCGAAGCTTTCAACCCCAGGATCTTTGCAACAGCAGGTAAATATAAAGATTTTATGATCTTTTAACGGTATTAGAGTTTAAATATAGATGACCATAAAATCGTTTTTCAGATAATCTAAATCAGTTTAAAGAAGTAAAGGATAGTTGAAAACTGAGAGAACTGTAGTGAAGAAAATCAGTGAGAATTAATAGATATTACTGAAATGGGATATTACTCTTAATCTAACAATAAGTAACTTAATTAGTGACTAATAAAATCTTGCTTCACAATTAACAACGATTATTGATTTACAACGACGAGTATTATGAGAAAACGGTTCACAATTAATATTGATAAAAATAAATTTGATCTGAAGTTTCAAACTTCAAAATTGGCAAAGATAGAATAACTTTTTATTTAGAAATAAAAAATATTATGTAACTTTCTTCTCCGCTAAGAAAGAATCGGACGTGATATTCACTATAGAAGCTGTATGGGTGTTCTGAGACACCCTATACACGCGCAGCAAGGCATGCAGGTATATAAGTGTGAGTCACCCTGCACTTTCTAACCATCATTTTTTTCAGTCACGTTCAAGTGAATGCACACCTAAGGATTCGAGACAAAGGAAGACCCTCATGGATCAGATTATCACTCATTTGTTATTTATCACGAATCGTAATTATGCCGAATAGAAAATTCATTTTTGCGATTAGTTAATATCGTTTTATACGACATATTTATCAATTTTATGTTATATGTTCAAGTTTGTGTGTAGTAAAAAAATATAAAAAGCAATAATAAGTTTTTCTGTTTTTTATCCTCAAATTATTATAAAGAGCTATTATTAATATTTATTTAAAAAGTTCATATATCCTATTTATTTTTATCAGAATTTAATAAATTAAAAATATTATATTGACTTTTAATCATAAAATAATAAAATACTTTAATTATAAAAAAAATGTTCTAATTCAGAAAATAGAAATGTGCAGCTGTGGGGAGCTGCTAATTTTTTATGCAAAAAATAAATTAAAAATATTATATTGACTTTTATACATTAAATCATAAAATACTTTAATTATAAAAAAAATGTTCTAATTCAGAAAATAGAAATGTGCAGCTGTGGGGAGCTGCTAATTTTTTAATAAATTTTGCAAAAAATAGTTTTACATCATATGTTTACATTACAGATACTTTGTAAATTTTGTTTGTTTAAAAAGTCTAAACTTTTTATAAAATGCTGTCCTGTTTTTAACTTGGCGTTTTAATAAAAAGAGAGAGAGATAGAGACCAGGCTTTTCATAAAATACCTGAATTTACAAAAAGCCTGTAACACATGTACAGACAACACATGTATGAGACAAGTTTGCGTGCGTTACATCGTACGGAACAATGTTTGCTCCGTTATTTGTCTCACACTATTAAAGCAAGGTGTGCCATGTTAGTGGCACACAAACTTCGCATCACTTCGTGCATCGCACGGTTCGCCTAACTAATTTACTACAAATCTTTAGCGGAGGCAAAGCAAAGCACAGATATTCGCCACAAAATATTATTTGTTTATCTAAATTAAGAGAAATCTTTTCTATGCAATATTCCGCGGTAAATTCATTCTTACATATTTTTTAATTAATCAATTTAGTAAAATCAATCTCATAAAGATATCGAGATATTTCTTTCTTTCTCTCAATTAGTTTTCATAAATCATTTAAAACAAAGAGGAATGTAATAGCCACAAAACATTCTGTATATTTAATTTAAATTTAAATTAAATTTAACAGAATTTTTTAATAATATATTTTTTAATAATTTTTTAATAATATATTTTTATAATATAATGAAAGTATTTCAGACTTTTAAGTGATGTATCTCTAATATCGAAAATAAAAGAAAATTGCGTAAAAAGTACGGCGTTGAATCGAATCGTCATTAACGTAAAATCGGTTCACGATCTGTCAAAGGATCCACGAATGAAGTCTCTTGCGTACGTCGCGGCATGATTATATGACACAATTTAGCTGTTCGTGAATATGTCCATATGTCCATCGCTACATTTACTCACTTTGCTTTCACCGGTTTCACGATGACTCGTGTTCTTCCTTATCCGTGAAATCGTAGAGATCGGCGAGACGCGCGCTTATGTGAGCGAGACCATTTATATCTCTCGTCCGTTTCTGCTCACTCACGTGCGAGCGTTCGTCACATCCCCGAGTACGACGCTCGAACCGATCCGATTTCGCGATCGGGTCCAGATTGCACTTTACGATACGTCGCCGCACTTTTCGATGATCGGACACACGTGCGAGATTATGTATATCTCACGTCAAAATTGCGAACGTATCGCAGCGAGCGTCGCGCGGTCACAATATTTGGTAAACGTCTTCGGCTGAACGCTGTGTGTCACGTGGCTCGACCTTCCCGGCGTGTTTTCGTCGTGTTGTGTTGTGTGTCATAGATCGCGTTTCCCCCGCGCGTGCCCGTTCCGCTTTCCCCGACGTTGCAATGTGAAAATCTCTCTCGACAAGCGTCGGCGGGAGAGTGATAAATCGAAACCGAGAAGCTCACCTCGCCCACCCCCCCCCCTTCCCGTTCCTTTGTTTCTGGTACCGTTTGTTGCAGATTTATTGTGTTACAAATTGAATATATCCACAATGCAATCTCGATCAAATAATTTCGAAGTGTCTCTTTTAAAATACAGTTCACAGAAAAAAAAAAAAATACAAGTTTTTATAGATTATTTTTCCGAGATATCTTCGGATAAATTTCTCTCATCTTCGAGATAATCAATTCCATTAAGCGTACGATTTTAGATTTTCAAAATATAATTCGATATCTCTAGAAAGTTTTTAGATAATTTGTTTTATAACATAATTTATAATCTTTAGCAATTTTCCAAATGGATTCAATTACATAATTAATGAATACTTAAGATGTAGTTAAATATCCTTTGATTGCTTCACTTGTATTTCTTATAAATTGAAAATCTTTAAAAGTCTTGAAAATATATATTAGCCTAATTGGTTCTTGAGTCTTCTTGGATACAGAATCAAACATTTCAAGCATTCACTACACTCCCTTCTTTGTTTCGCTCTCCTTTTCCGCATACGTTTTTTTTTTTTTTTATTACATACGACTGTCCCTACAGAGGATTCGACTCGTGTTTCTTGATGCAGCTGGATTTTTATAGAACCGAGCTCTTGAAGTACTATTCACTGTCGTCCCTTTTCTAAATTTCTCTCTTATTCCTCTGTGTATTTATTACAACCCCGCCTCAAAGATCATCCACGCGTTTCTTAGCACGACTGGGATTCTTCGCGGGATTGACATTCCTCGAAGTTCCTTTTCTATCACACCCTTGCGGGAAATCGTTCGCTAGAGCAAAAAAAAAATCGCTTTTACCCGGATCGATTGAATCGGAATCTCACGAGAATTTCTTTCGCTTTCTAATCCTTTTCTTTTCCCCGCCGTTCCTCAGGAATGCACTCGCGACTTGCCCCGCGAGAATTCCCCGACAGATTCCCGACGGATAGACGAGGGAAACCGTCGACAGATAACGACTGAGAGATCGTTTCGGCTCGCTCACTGTCGGGGCGATTCGCTTCGTCTGCTACTCGGTCGCCGACTTTCCTCGTTGTCGACCGACATCGAATCACATATATCGATTCGAGCGGGACGACAACGACCGTACACGCGACGGCCGAGAACAAAGACGGCGATGTCGAGACCGCGGCGCGATGCGACGCGACAAACGAGCGTGCCGGGACGTTTGTGGCGGCTGCGTCGTGCTGAGGAAACGCGTGTCGTGTATTATGGTCGAATGTCGCATTGCAGAGAAAGAGAACGGCGGCGGCACACACGGATGATGCCAGTCGCCGCCGCTGCCGTCGTCGCCGCCGCCGCCACCGCGTCGTCTGCATCTGTCGCCGTCCGTCCTCGTCGCACTCGCGTAGTCCCCGATCGACTCGGATCTCTCCGACCCTCGCATTTCTTCCACGGAACGTCTGTTCTGTCAGTGTCGATAGGCACGCGGGGGCCTCCTGCGCGACAGACGGCGAGCGAGGAGGATCGCGTACGACGATATGGAAAGAAAGGGATTTCCCCACACATTGCCTACTTTCCAATATATCAGTGATGAAATTGAAAAAAAATGCACCCACGTGTGCGGATTGAAACGATTGTGTGAACTCGTTTCACTTGAAGATTGCATTGGAAACGATAATTGATAATTTTACTGTATATACGTGCGTTTTGCATCGCTACTTTGGTATAGAAAATATTGGCGAATATAATAGCTTGGCTTTTATGTCTTCCGTATTTAATATCTTTCTTGAATTCGATTGCACTATGTATATTGATCGTTGATGCACACGAGTTGACATAACAATGTACATATATACATATACATATAAGAAGTCGATCGTAAATCCAATCGTTGTGTAACACAATTTTTGTTGGACTCTAGTAGTCAAGATATTTATACAAACTGTTTACCAATCTGTGTATTTAAATATCTAGGTAAATTTGCATACAATGGTTTTTCGAATGTACCTGCACATATATAAATGCATTCAACCCAATTGACATATAGCAAATATATATGTATATATATACATATGTATAGTCGGTAGATTTGCTAGTAGATACAGTATGACGTAAACTGGAAACTATTGTGTGTGTATAAATAAGTGTGAAAAATAGGGGGATAAGTTTATTTAACTTCTAATACACTATCTGTTCTCTTCTATTTAACACAATCACTCGGTACAGCTGTACGCGTATATTTGAAATGGTAAAGATAATTTCGTAGAGAGTAGAGTTTTCTATAAAGATAAGCACAAAGGTTTTTAGATAAGCGGGATAAAAAAAAAAGTAAAGACAAAGGATGTTTTTACTTAAATATAAAATTGCACTGGCTTCATTAATTTTTGAATATTTATAATCAATTATATTTTTTTTTTTCTAGAAAAAAAAAATGATTTTTATATGATTAGATATACTTTATATGTTAAACAATTTATAATAAATCAAGAAGCATTTTTTAAAACAATTTATAATAATTTAAGATATAAAACATTCTTCATTTATACTTGAAATTAATTAAGGAAATTGAGATTTTACTATCTATATCATGTATATATAATACATCTCATAATATGTATATTGCTAAAGAGATTTTCTCATGCAAATAATTTAATTTCAATCACTTATATATTACTCTCTCATAGATAACAAAAATACTTTAAAATAATTATCATATTCTTTAAGTCTGTATATATATGAAAAAGAAAAAGTGCGATAGCTTTTATATAGACCACTAATAACATTATAGTGATATATTATTTATGCAACAATGGATTTTGATGAAATAAATTATATCTCATCATTATTATATTCTCTAAATTTTTTATTGTGTCAATATAATTTATCTTTTCGAGTTATTAGCAACTGATTGCAAATATTTATTAAAGAAAACATATATTTCTAATAAAGCGGCAAACTCTCTCTTTTTCTCTTTCGAAATGATTTTGATTTACTAATCAAAATTCCATTCATATTGAAAATGAATCAACTTATACTCGCGGTATTGCTGAAGAAATAGGATTTCTGTATTAGACGTACGTAATCACGTCTCACTAATTCATACACGAACTTGCATAAATCACACTGCACACGCATCAGCACAGACAGTCTGTTTCACTCCCTATACTATAGAACACGAGATATCCATCAGCTAACGAGAAAGATTATGCGAACAAATTCTTTTTGATATTTGAAACTAAAAGAACATGATTCTTCTCTCACCTCGTTCCTCTCACTTCCATTATTCGCCAGGTTACTTAGATCCCCTTATATTTTTATTATTGTAGAGATTTATAGATAGAAGTTGGATAACTAAATCTTTTAGATTCGTGCCCGAATGCAGGCCGCTCTTTCCGCGTACCTGAACCCGCGGCGACCTATCCTTTCGCGCTTCAGTCAGGAGATTGGAGCATCGTCCACAAACAGGTTTCCCTCCTGGAGCGGTGTCCGTCCTGCTCGCGCAATTCGTCGCTTTAGTGTCCCCCAGACGAACGAGCAGAGATCCACTCGATGACTCGACCCACTGACGAACGAGTCACACACTGCCAGCGGTGTTTATGACACTGTGCGGATGATGACACGCGAGAGTACCCACCGAAAGGAAGTTCTCTCTCTCTCTCTCTCTCTCTTTCTCTCTTTCTCTCTCGCTCCTTTTGTCCCCGTCTCTCCTGCTCTTTTCCTTTTCTCGCCTCCCACGCCAGTCTTGCAAAGAGTTATCACGGAACCCGAACCAGACACAGATAGAGAGAAAGAGAGAGGAGGACCATCACGATTCACACTCGCGCGTTCACCACTGATCGCAAGGATGACACCTGAACGGCCAACTGCAGAAGAGGAAGTGCAGGCAACGTACTACCGCTGTGCCCTGACTCGTGGCGAGTAGTCTGCCTCGACTGCCCTCCAGCACCTGGAACCTAGCGCCTGACGCTGGTTCGTTCGCCGAGTACAATGCCTCCTATATCGGGTGTCCTTCTTTAAAACACCGCCTACCTCCGTCCTCAACTATCCCCTTCAAAACCGACGCGCGAGGCCGCCTCTCTCTTTTTCTTTCTTTCTTTCTCTTTCTCGCTTTTACGAGGACATTTTCCGCTCTCCTAGCCAGGTAGTAGCCAGTGACTCTCATCCTGCTCAGGTAAATGATGCCGATCGGTTCCAGGACTGATTGTGAATATAGTTAGCGGAGTTTATCGGAAACTCGACGAGATTGTTTGAAATTTCGCGCTCTGTGTGATTTTTGCGATCTGTAAGATGTTAATAATTTTTTATTTTTGTTTTCGTGTGAATTGTTCGAATAGAATTGTTCGATTTAACAAATATAATCAGAAAAGAGATAGCGTGATAATATTTGAAGATATATACATATCTTTCTCTTTTATTAATTTTTATGCTTCTTTTGATTTCTATCTGATTTTCGTATCGTAAATACCATAAAATAATATTCGTGTTCAAGGATTTAATTCATATATGCATGTATTAATTGTATAATATGATACCATAAAAAAAAAACATGAATAATATACTGACATGAACTGAATTATGGCATGTCATTTTTCAAAAGATGTATATGAGAGCAAATCAACTTTCTCAGAGAATACATCGCGATATTATTTTTCGTAAGAATCTAGATAAAAAGATTGTATGATTCATCAGGCAGAATTGTGCAGATATGCAGAAGAAATATGAAATTAATATACAGAAGATGTATATATTCAGAAGATTCATATGAGAGTAAATCAATTTTCTCAGAGAATACATCGCAATATTATTTTTTATAAGAATCTAGATGAGAAGATTATTATATGATTCATATCGGGCAGAATTTGTACACATATGCAGAAGGAATCTGAAATTAATTTTCTATCATGCCCCGAGATACTTAATGCTTCCCAATGTATATATGCAAACGCACGATCTGTCATCTTAAAGTTAAAAATATATAATACAATTTGCAAATAACACGGTACTGTCTCTCTCTCTCTCTCTCTCTCTTTCTTTCTCTTTCTCTCTCTATTTGCACATGATTTAAATATCATTAATTATGATTTAATTTCTAATTTGTCGCTTGTATTATCTCGATGCTTCTTGAAATTATATCTTGAAATAAGTATAAAGTTACAGGAATCTTCTATGAAGTAATAACACGAGAAAACTTGTGCATAAATATACGAAAGGCATGGTTTTGCGTTCAATAAAATATTTAATTATAAAGTTCTTAAATTATTACTGAAACCAAGAAATGCATCATGGAATTTATATCTCGAAAAATGTGAAATGTTGGAGAAATTGTTACATTAAAAAGAAAGCGATTGCGCAATATTTCGAACACGAAAAAATTAATACATAATAGTATAAAAAGTCTCGTTAACTCGAAAGCCGGACATTGTAGTTCAGTCAGCCGGCTGCATGTTATTGATCCTGCAAGTTGCGCCCTTTGCATAGCGAAACATCGTTGTTGAAGTCGACAAAGGCGGCTGTGGCGTCCGCGGTTCTTTGATCGATGCAGAATGAATTAATTGTAGACCAAAGGAGTTCGCGGATCTCAGTTGCATCTGTGCACATCGTATCTGTACATGTCATGAATCGCAAATGGATATAATTTCAGCAATTTCAGACTTTCACTTTGCTTTAGAGATAAGAAATTGTGTAACATTTAATATGTTGTACCTATTAAAAATATTATTATTCATTGAATATAATCAATTACAATGTACATTATATTTCTATGTATTATATGCTACATTCAAGTGAAATGTGATCAATATTGGAAAATTTAATCGATTAAAATTAGGTCAATGAGTATTAGAGCTTTATTCGTGTCCCATTTTTCGTGGCGGTCTCTCTATTGTAATGATAAATACTAAATGCGACCTACCTTGGCGATGAGGTTGCATTTGGCGTATCGAATTTTCACGAGAGCGGCCTCGAAGCTAGACGCTTATGGATCACGCTCATAATTCAAAAGGCCAGCAACGGCAGGTCGGCGGTAGGAAGGCGGCATTTTTTATTTAGGAGTTCAGTGAGGCATAACGAGATCGTCTTCCCGCGAGAGGTAGAAAGAAAAACCGAGCGAACGACGCCGAGGGGCAAAACGAATGGAAGCGGTAACGAATAGCAGAAAAAAAAGGGTAGAACAACGTCAGCGATATACGAAGTCACTTCTCCACGGTAACGTGCGTACGGTTTTGACAGAATAATTTGAGAAAATTCGCGAGAAAGAACATAGCTTGAAACAGCCGTGCACCTGCCCCTTTTTCGAGCCTGCATTATATTTTATTACGGAGAAAACGACCGTATGCTCGCGCGCACGACTATGAATACCGGTAAAAAAAAGCAAAAAATACTCCGAAAATAAAATAAATTTTTTCGCTTAGTGGACTAATTAGCCTAGTGGCGCAATTAACATAAAATGCTTTTTATCTCTGGATATTACATATTCTTCTATTTTCTTTTTTTTTTTTTATTCGACAGATTTTATATACAGGGTGTTCCATCAAAAGTGGCCACCCATTTTTATCTTTTAAATTAAAAGAGATAGACTATAACAAATATATATCAAATTAAACGGTTCAAATTGAATTCTATTTTAAGCATCGTAGTTGCCTATAAAAACTATCTGTATTAACGAACGGAGAAGTATGCATAACTTTTTTATAACAATGTGGATATTTCGACACAATAAAAATTGTAGCATTGTTTTAAACGAATACAACGATATATGGTTTAATGTTAATATTTTATATATTATACGCGGGTTTTATTGGCTTAAAATATTGCGGGCGACGTCTACCTTTTCATTTTCGGTCCTACAATATGGCCAACTTCTGACTCGTGCGTTAAAAATTGACGTATATGTCATGTTGTCATTTGATCATAATACTCGAGTCAGAAGTCAGAAGAGATATCATAAGGGCCGAAAATGAAAAGGTAGACGTCGCCCGAGATATTTTTAAGCCAAACGCCGTATAATAAAATATTTACATTAAATCATATACCGTTGTATTCGTTTCAAACAGCGCTTCAACTTTTATTGTGTCAAAGTATCCACATTGTCATAAAAAAGTTATATATATCTCTTGCATATCGTCTGTTATATATATACTATATATATATATACCCTAGTTTGAAACAAATTATTAAAGTTCTGATAGAAAAAAAAACTTATAAAAAAGAAATTTAATTTCAACTAAGTTCTAAATTAAAAGATGTTATTCTTTATTTCTTAAAAATACTGATTTTGGAATAGAATTGAATTTTATATTAAAAATTTGATTTGATTCTACAATGCACAATACACAAAAAGAGAATTGAAATAACTGTAAAAGACAATACATTTATTGTACGATGCCAGTTGGAAAAATAACATCTTTATTCTTCTTCTTCTCGATATTCTAATCAATTTAATATTCATTAAAATTTCTCGATATACAGAAATCTGCAAATGCAATACGAAATGTAAATTCGTCGCATAAAAATTTATAACGTGAGATGCTTTCGCAAATATTAATATTTCATCCATTGATGGACGCACATTAATCTTAATAGGCGGTGATAACATTCGCGATTTTAAAAGCAGATAATCCGATTCAACAATAATTGATCTAAACGGTCGACTATTCACCCGTTTATTCGATATTATCATTTTCTTTAGACATGATAATTATAGAAAAAAATTAATAGGATTAATATTTCAAATTGTTCTCTGAAGTAAAAGATTATAAGTTAAAAGGATCGATTAGAAAAAGTGAACTTTACATTATCCGATATTGTTACATGTGTGAGTGGTACACACTCGCTAGAGGCAGATGGCACGAATTTAGTGACATTGAGAAAACAGCCCGACAGTCACCCTTCGCTTCGAGTCCAGCTGCATCTCGATTCGGAGGGCTTGGAATAATATTCTGGTGCATACGTGGAAGCAAATAGAATTTTTTTATAATAATCTTTCTCTAACAGATTTAATATTGCCGAGAAAAGTTATTTAAAAATATTGGAAAAGGAATATTTATCTTATATCTCTTATCCCCTGTGTGCTTCTTTATAATATTCTTACTTTCCTCTCTTTTGTCTCGATCTCCTAATATAAAAAAAAATGAGTTGTAGTGCATATATCCTGCATATTGATATCCGATTTTTCGTTTCTTTTCTATGAAATTTTTATATTTACATTCTTGACGTGATTTACAAACAAAATCTACAAAGTGCTGCCTATTTTAAATATTTATCTTGTTCCTTTCTGTCTCTCACATTTTCCTGTGTATCATTCATAATTTCATAATTCATTTCGTAGATATTGCACAAATTATACGAAGCACCCCAGCTATTATAAATATTTAATTTATATTTTACATTTCTCTCGCTTATATCGTATTTTCATACATCAACTTCTTCAAAGATCGCAGAAATTATACAGAGCGTCTGCTATTATCAATATTTGTCTTACATCTTATATTCCTCGCTCTTTTTACATCATATCTTCTTTATAGAACGGATTATTCGAAGTTCTATTTTACATTTCACTTTTTATTTTGATTATTATAGTTTCGTATAATCTCCGGTTCTCAAGAACGCAGATTAAAATGCCAACTATTCTATTTGTGCCCCGCGTTTTATTCCCCGTTCCCCTTGCGTCGCATCCGTATCCCCGATACTTATGCACATGGCACGCGAAACACCCGTTCAGGCGCAGACGCGCCGACACGAAGCGGCCGTTGCGCGATCAGTAGCACACGGCTGTACTGAAACCGGCAGCTGAGAAGCACTCGCGCAGCAACCGCGACCGCGAGAGCTTTGATCTCTCGTCGCTCCGCTCCGGAACGCTCAAACGCGCGCGCGGCCGGCCGATCACATTTCGAAGTTTTCCCCGAGTGCTCCGAATGTAATCAGTATGCTTAAAGGTTTCGACGAGAGCTGTTTCGGAACTGAAATCGCTCGATAAAACTCGGTTACTCTCGATACATTGACGGAAAAATGTTTATATAATGTACATTTAGTGTCATAATCGTTGATTGATTACAATGATACATGAGACACGGTCAAAGTTCGTGAAAAAATTGCTTGATGCTGGAGGAAACGTTAGTATTCCATTGAGAATGTCGATGTTCGTGCAATTTTTATGTAAATAAAAATGCTCGATAGAAAATTGCTTGATGTGTTATAGAAAATATTAATAATCTGTTGATAATATTAATTATTATTTTCATTTTATCATCGCGATGCTGTTATTTTTTTAATGGGACCAATTGCTTTCAGATTGCTTTAAGATACGTTGTGAATGCATATTTTTTAAATATATGTTATTGTTGTTTTTAATTAAAGAGAGAGAGAGAGAGAGAGAGAGCAATAGAATTTCTGAATACTATATAAAATTTCTGATTGTATAAAGTTTAATTACACAAGTTGCATGCTAATTGATATCAAACAGCAATGTATGTATTTATTCGTGACTTTGCTACACATGTTAATGGTTAATAGAGTGCCCAAGAGTTCGATTATTGTTTCCCCTAAATATATGCCATAGTGTGTTACATACGTATATATGCGAAATATTTTATATAGAAACAATTATTAATAAAAAAACTAATTATAGAAACAATTATTAATAAAAAAAACTAATAATTGTTTTCCATTAATAATAGATTTTTTGATAAATTATTTATAATACTTATTTTTAATGTACATTCGTGTTTTTGTACGAAGCACTTAATATCAATACAAATAGACTATTATCAAAGAATAAAATCATTATTACATGGTTATTATACTTGTAAAATGCAAAATGCACGCGATTTTGTTTATCATACAAAATTTATATTGATAAGTCTTATCATAATTCACTTGAAAGATTAAATTACACAAAATGAGAATTTAATCTCGCGATATAGTAAATTCATTAAAATAATAATTATTTGTTAAAATTAATTATAGAAATTATGGAAATATTGGAAGCAATTATGTGTATATGGCAAGATTTCTCAAAATTAATTTATATTTCTTGTCTAAATCAGTCTCGTTGATGTAATACATATATGTCACTTTTAATAATATCTCTGAAGTAAAATTTATTTCTATCTTCAAAACTCCGTATATTTACATGACTATTAATGTTGCGACACAATTTTTTATATCGGGGAAAGATTAAAATAATCGAGACAATTCGTGGCAGCAAGAAAAGCGATATGAGTAATGGAGCATTGTATGACAATTTCATTGCGTACGAACTCTTTGACACTATCTCTGACGAACGGACTTTCAAATACTTGTTTACAACGTAGCAACATGATTTGATTTTGCTTCAATACAGCACATTGTAATTGAGGGGAGCCACTCCGATGTGGAAGTACGCGCTCTCTTGTTTGCAAGTTACAAATGCCTCTTCCTAACTTTGGTCTCGCAGCTTTCGCTATTTATATGCATGAAGTTACATAAAGGATGAAAGAGCCAGTTCTCCCGTCTTGCAACAATATCTCTTTACTGTGCCATTTATAAAATATCGGTTCTAACTTCAAATAACTTTAAAGACAATAGATAATTTTGAAAGAGATGTATGTAGAAGCATAAAGATATCTGAAAATTAGGACATCTTTTAGAAACATATATCTGCAATGCTTGCAAATGCTAATTATAAATCAGTCTTGAAGAAAGTTTCTTGTTTCTAGAATTGTAGTTTCTTGTTTCTAGAATTGTAGTTTCTTGTTTCTAAATTAAATAAACCAAACACGTAAAACTCCTATAAAGAGCCAACATGACATATGTGGCGTATTAATTCTATTTGTGTAACATTTTGTAATATATATATTTTATCTGACAATGAGTCACATATTGAAGAAGAAGTTCAAAATGAAACATCTGGCGTTCATCGTATCTTTTAATTTTTTTTGTTAATCGTAAATATTTACGCATTCTACAGCTACGTTTAAGTTTTAATAGTAATCATCTTTCTTTTTCTATTGTATATCGGGGAAAGTATTTTTTTCTTAAATTTTAGATTAAAAGCGCTTTTAATCATAAAGATATCTGAAAATTAGGACATCTTTTAGAAACATATATCTGCAATGCTTGCAAATGCTAATTATAAATCAGTCTTGAAGAAAGTTTCTTGTTTCTAGAATTGTAGTTTCTTGTTTCTAAATTAAATAAACCAAACACGTAAAACTCCTATAAAGAGCCAACATGACATATGTGGCGTATTAATTCTATTTGTGTAACATTTTGTAATATATATATTTTATCTGACAATGAGTCACATATTGAAGAAGAAGTTCAAAATGAAACATCTGGCGTTCATCGTATCTTTTAATTTTTTTTGTTAATCGTAAATATTTACGCATTCTACAGCTACGTTGAAGTTTTAATAGTAATCATCTTTCTTTTTCTATTGTATATCGGGGAAAGTATTTTTTTCTTAAATTTTAGATTAAAAGCGCTTTTAATCTAAAATTTAAGAATGTTTCTAAAACTTTGTGAATTTATAATACTTTAATTTTGCAAATGTAGATGTATCAAACACCTTATATGTATAAATATATGTATAATATGTATAAATATTAAAATTCATAAAGATGGTGCGCATAATCAATTGAATCTTGTAAAATATAAAATGATTTTAAAATATTGTGTGACGATCTTCATACAACGCAGAGAAATCCTCTATGTAGGAAATATTTCAGAAAATAGCACATTTAATCTCAAATTTGTTCTTATCTTATTACAAACTTGTTCCATTGAAAGCAGTGTTCTCCTAGTGTAATGCACCTTGTAATTAAATTCAATAACTGCTATTCTTGTTCACGCCGTCAAGACAAGTTTGTCAAATCCACATGAACGTGAAATCGGATTTGCATCGGTTGGCGTAAGTAACTGCGAAACTTTATTAAGACGTTTATGTTCGGTCTAGTGGCATTGAATAAGTAAATTTTCCGCTCTGCGAACTTTTCTTCATTCTGTTTGTTATATTTACACGGCAAAATGCACGTAATGCGCGCTTTTATATGCGGTACTTTTTTACAAAGCTTGCCTCCACCTTTGAGGATTCCTATGCGCGGACAAATAGGTCGGAAGTCCTCCGTACAGAATTCAAAGATTATACATCTTTTTTCCTAAGCAGATTTTATCCAATTTTTAATGTAATTGAAATCCACCGCAAGCACCTACGATACGCCATCAATCATCAAAATATACATACCCAAATAAAAAAAAAAAAATATATTGAATCTAAGACAAAAATTTTTAACAAATTTCATCGCATGTTACAAGCAATAATATATGGTTATTAAAATTAACTAAGTATGGGAAAATTTTACAAAATATAAAAACTGACATTTCAAAATTAATAAATTATTCATAATTAGTGATAATAATTCGAGAGCTCTTTTGATATAATATAAAGTTAAATAATATTCGTAATCGTAAGAATGATATTTTTTTATAAACTCCTGTTTATTTTTTCTCTCCTGTTGCTTCTCTCTCTTTCTCTCTTTTCCCTCTCAAAGTTTCACTGAAAAATATCTAGTACTTTTTAATATAATTGCATGTTTTAACAAAACATCGCAGTGGTCGCGATGTAATATAAAACAATGCAATACAAAAAATATGCAACAAAGACTTTTAAAATTATTTAAAATGTAAAATAAATAAAGGGAATAATATTATGCAATTAAATACACTAAAAGGATTAATTTTTATTTACTTTATGTATATATTATTCTCTTTATTTATTTTATATTCTAAATAATTTTAAAAGTTTTTGTTGCATATTTTTATGTTGCATTGTTTTATATTACATCATTGTTTTATATTACAGCACTGCGATATTTTGTTAAAACACGCAACTATATTCTTCTTATTGATAAAACGCGCTGGGAAAGCAAATATGATGGATGAATAGGTGATATACGTCTCGACAAATATGTATTCCGAACTAACAACGTGAAGAACATCAAGATTGAATGAAAATGTCGAGATGTGTACACGAGGAAGATTCATTCGACCTATGTTTATTTGACAACTTTGATGTTATCGGTAATAAGAAAATTCTGTCATAAACCAAGTTTACCTATCTGTAATGGAAAACTTCTTTTCGCTCTTCTTTTCATTCGGATGCTCTGGAAAAACTTTTTACGAGTTTAATTGGGTGTTCTAAATGCTAATGCGTTTCGTTCTCAAAATAAAAAAATTTCGTTTTACAGCAGCATTTCTAATCACTGCTTTTGCAGTCGAACTTAACTGAACGCTAACGATTTTTCGATATCCATCAGGCATTATCGTTACCCCACTTTTTCACAATTTAGATGTTCTTTTCACAATAAAATTACACAAATTGCGAAATACGAATGTAATTGGTAACATAAATTTGTAAATAACATTTTATCGCAGCTCTCTTTAAATCACCAAAAAGCAATTTAATTATAGTATTTTGTTGCTATCATACTGCATGTTATTATTCATATTCATTATATCGAAATTATATTTAACTCGAACCACACCCACATTTTCTCTTTCTTTCCCTCTCTGTTGTCCCTCTTTTCTCCCTTTCTCGCTTTTTTATGAAACAAAAAATAAATGCGACAATACTTTATGATCTCGAAAGATTATCATGATTTCATCGCGACTCGTTTATCTAGTGATGGGTTATGATAAGGAGGTTACTTCACAAGACATAACATACGTGAGTGGCCCTGCACGCGGCAAGTAAAGTGACACGCGCTGACACCCACACGTGGCATCGTACATGACACCTCGAAAAGCGACATGGTGTAGTGACGTGAGACGCATCATGTTTCCCGCATATCCGATATCTCTTTGATGATAAATTCAATATCGTCACACTAAATTTGACATGATGATTGCAAATACTTGTGTATATATTTTTTCCATAAAACCTTGACAGACTTGACTTGTGTCATTCGCAGAAATATTTTACCACTTTCTTAATGTGTTTGCATACATAATATAATACATCTAATATTTTCAACAGTCCTCTTTATATAAAAAATATCTAGACTTGTCGATTTAAATCGAACAAAGAATCTATGATGTGTGTGTGTGTGTGTGTGTGTGTGTGTGTTGTGTGTTTAATATACGTCTAATTAATACGAATTTAGATTACAATTTTGCATAAAATCATATTTGCTGAAAATTTCATGATACTAATCATTTGCGTCATTCTTTCTAAAGTTCAATACAGATGTGAAGCTTCAAAATTTCATCAACGCGATCGATTTATAACAGATGTATTAAACGCTTTTGAAATTCGCATCTACAATGAATCGCATTGTCCATTATTGACCAATATTATCAATTGAAATAATCGTCCGCTTAATCAAATCAAAGGTTAATGAAACGCGTTTCGACGATAATTAAATTAAGAACAAAGACCCATAATCTCATATATATTTGACTGTAATACGAATACAGCATATGGATGTATGTATGCGCGTCTGCTGCACGGAAACCTCGATTCGATCTGCAATTCGAGTGGCAGCAATGCATCAGCCATCGTGTTTGCTGCGTCCGCACTGACTAATCAATGCCATTAATTGGTGCTGATGCTGCGTGCCTCCGCTTGGCAATAATGTAGATCGCGCATAGAATTCTGCCGATTAACAGTGTCATGAGGGAAAGTCTGTTATCTCGTTGACGGAGGGAAACGAGCGATTGTTCCTATTCAATCGAGCACGCTCCAAAATTCATTCATTTAAAAAAAGCTCTCTCTCTCTCTCTCTCTCTCTCTTTCTCTCTATTGTTATTCGATGAGTTCAGTTTTAACGCTTTATAAAACAACCTCCCAAATTGTTGCCGCATATCTTTTTTTATGTTATGTTTCAATGCTCACACTTTCAGTGTAATCCTTTGTATGTAAAAATGTGCATGTTTTTCTATATCTATTTTTAAAATCGACATATAAAAACGAATTATTGTTTGTACCTAAATTTTAATTTAAGAGTTCAAATAGATAAGAAAATCTCCTTTTTTTTTGTATATTAATTTTCAAGTATATTTTGCTGTAAAATTTTCATTCGGGCTCTCTTTTCTTGCTTTTATAAGAATAATATATTTCTAAAAAATATATATTAAAAATTAAAAATTTATAAAAAAAGTTCACTCAGATTGTACTTCTATAAGAAACTATTTATTTTCCTACATATTCATTATCAGAGCCGGCAAAAGTTTTGGTTCCCCAATTTGACGACACATTCATCGCATACGATTCAATTGGCACTCATTGCATGTACTCCGTTGTTTCACCCGAAATCAATGCACGTGCAACGAAGGGGTAATCACGAGGGACATACGTTTATTACAGAGATCAATCGGGCTGTATATGTCGTAAGCAAGACTCGCCACAGCGATGCGTCGCGAGCAAGCCCGTCGCATTGCCGTCCGAAGGACCATCAACGATCATCCGCAATTATTCTGCACGTTAGCGCGATCCCTTAATTAAGTCGCTCGAATCAGCGGCGGACCGCTGCTAATTAACGCCATCGCCATCATCCTTCTCGGGGAAAGAGCTTCACGTCATCAACCGACGGATTTAACGAGAAACCATTTGGCGCACGTGACGAGCATTTTTCTCTCTCTGTCTCTCTCTCTCCCTCCCTCAAGAAAAAAGGATGATACTCGTTCGATAAAAAAGTCGTGCGACAAGGCGTCGCGGCGCCGTGACAATGTGGAAATATGAGACTTTCTACGACAGCTGTCGGATCCCGGCGTCGTCTTCGTCGTTTTTGTCGATACCCCGCTCGCACCAATGCAGCTTACGCCGATCGCCGATGTACAAGTCCGACGTCTATTGAGGAAAAATGGGTGCCAATCAATCGACCCGAAGTCATCCCACCCCCGGAGAAGAAGGTAAACCGCCTGTCTGTCTTACGTGAAAAAGAACGAGCTTCTATTTATTTATGAGTGTTGGATACGTTACATGTGGTAATTGGAAATATTGCGAACTGATTGATTCTCGGCTATATTAGCGTCGAGTTTGATATTTTATAAAGTATTGGAAAGAGAATGGGCTTGATTCTGCACAATCAATCGCATCTTGATTTCCAGGACAATCGATAAAAAACGATTGGCTCACTGTTTCTTTAATGTATCGTAGTAATTACTGTCACGATTATCTTCTTTTCATTATGTATCGATATAAAATTTTAATGCATCTAATTGAGCTCTTGTTATATAGTAATCACTTTATATAAATATTATATATAATTAATAGCGAGTTTTTATTTTCAATATTAAAGCTCTAACAATATATCCATTTGATCTAAAATAGTTTAGATCAGAAAAAAAACTGTGGATTGAAAAAGTTTAACAATGTTATGTAATAATAATTTGAAAAATAAATCCCAAGTACTCCTATAAATTATATTTTGCAGAAAAGATTTTATAAAGTTATTATCAAGACATTTATTTCAATTACTATGATGTTACGAAAATGCAGATATTAGAGCAAAAATGTATTATATCACTCCGTTCAATATATAATTCGCATAACTTGAATTCTCGCTCGAATAGAATATGACGGATATGCACAACAATCTTGCATAGTTTCATAAGGAGGATCATCTTATTCTATCGTGTTCATATCGCGCTACAGCTGCAGCTTCCGCAATGTCTCGTGATACAGCGCGATGTCATGTAGAACTTTTAGTTCTATTACAGTTCAATTACAGAATAACAAGTTATTCCGGGGTAATAATAAATTGTTTCCATCGATTATATCGACAATCTTATAAACATCCAATTTAACCGATAAAAATCCAATTCAATTTCATTATAATTGAATTCCTTGGGAAAAGTTCTTTTTCCTCCACGAATTTTTCTTTGTATAATTTTTCTTTCACTTCTTACAGTGTATTAAAAATAATTTCAGCATTGCGCAAAGTTTTTACAAAAATTGGAACAATTTTAAAATATGATTACTTTTATTTTTTTTTAATAACAAATTAATTTAATAGCAAATTATGAGAGACGTGTGTCATTTGTATAAAGAACCGATTATTTTTTTCTTATAAATATAAAAAAAAAATAGAATTAGAATTAGAAAATTAGAATTACTATTTAATAATAAGATAATCAGCCATAATTAATTTTGTCATTGCAAGAACACGATTCGTACGAGAGTTGAGTTTGAAGAAAATCAAGTTCGAAATTTCCGTGTTATTATTGATGCAGTTCACCGATTACGTGGTTTGGCTATCTCGGATGGATCAAAACTGCGTGCAATATAAACTACGTATATGTTTGTATATCTTCCGCGCGATCAAATCCTTGCCACGGGATATTCGCAATTCACATCAATCCTAAATGGAGTTTCAGAGATCTTTGATAAAAAATCGATAAAATATTATATTCGTAAAATGAATAGCTTGATTAATTAAAAGCTACATCTATAAAAAAATAAGAAAAACCGATATCAACGTAGCTTGAAAAAAAAGTTTACCTCATATTAATTCACGTCAACACTAGAGAGTTAATTTCGATTAGCGTCAAATTCAACATACGCAAGAATAAACATCGAAAAGCGTGTAATATTTCACCATTCGTATGGTTCATTTTTATCGCATTTCGACGCAAAATTAATGCATTATTCGTCTATTGTCAAATATTATATGTACATCATTTTGCTTAATTAAATAACGTTTCTGTTACAGTGAACTTCGATCATTTTCAAATTTTACGCGCTATCGGGAAAGGCAGCTTTGGCAAGGTATGTCGTAAGTTAGTAAGTTCGCAGTTGAATTATGACGGAACGATAGGTAAATATTGTTATAAGTCAAGTTATGCGTTTTTAGCAGGTTCTTGTTTGTGGATTCAACGAGCGCATAGTAGCTGAACTCGCAGATTTTAAATTTTTCACTACGATTTCCGAGAAGTTATCACAACCAATTCTCAAATCAGTTTATTCGATGTTGCTCTTATGTTTACATACGGGTAACATGCAGTTTACGGCATAATTGGGAATTCTCACTAATATATATATATATATGAATTGAACTATGTCATAATTTGTAACACGCGATTCTCTCACCCAAGCGAAAAACTAGATTGAATTTCGCGGAAATAACTTAAAGGACTTTTTTAACTTCATATTAGTAGTATCGCTTTTAAATCGTATTAACTGTACAATCCATTATTAATCTCAATATATGGCATGGTGCAGAAAACGCGTAAATATATTATATGAAGAATAGCACGATATATCGACACAAACGCGCCGTTTCATAACGTAGTATACAACGCGAAGCATTTATGTCGCTATAAAATCGTTACTCTTGGTCATAAAAAAGTGTGTTCATCGGCGCTTTCATATTTATGGGCTGCTTTAAAAATTTCAAAACTCGTTTCCTTACTTTTATAGGAAAAGCAAATATGCGATATCCCCATTCCTCTTACAAAAGTACAAAAATAGGGATCAAATTTTTATGACTTTTTATGAATTTTTATGATGAGAATGCTAATCATTTACAGCTCGAAAAAATATTTTCAGTTTACATTCCAAATTTTTTTCACAAAAACTTATACAAAAAGTATCTTTTTTATTTAGATAATAATTGATAATTATGACAACGTATATAAAAATAGATAAAGTAAATATCAATACTTTAGCTTACGTCAAATTGTTCTGAGCAGTAAATAAAAACATTTTATCCTTTGATATGGCATTCTGTAGAAAAATTAAATATTTATTTATATTAAATTCCCGCGGATTTGTAAAACCTGTACTAAAGGAGTTTTAGCGCGAAAAGAACGATTTTGCACGTGAAACTCAATTTCGATACAATTTCTGCTAACAGGTCTGTATCGTGCAAAAACGTGACACTACCGGCCATATGTACGCTATGAAGTACGTACATAAAAACGAATGCGCAGAACGAGGTGCCCTGAAGAACGTGGCGAGGGAAGTCGAGATCCTATCAAAGCTGGAACATCCTTGTCTGGTGAATTTATGGTTCAGCTTTCAAGGTAAATCCTTTTTTAAGGTATTAATTACACGAATTAATATTCTAGATTTTGTGAGAAACGCATACAATATACGCAGATGCACCTAAAGATCTTAAAAAACAATTAATTTTTGATAATCTTTTTTTTTATTCTAGCATTCGCAAAAGTTCTAAAATTAGTATTCATTCTAGCATTAACAAAACTCTTGCAATGTAAATATATTTTTAAGTATTTGTAAAACAGACAGAGATTTTCTTACGAATTTTAAACTGATTTTCATTGAACACACATTGCAATTTCTTTCACTAATGTTCCGTTTTTAGAATTTAATATTTTTATAATCGCAAATTAAATTTTTGTTGAAGTTTATTCGAACTTTTGTTATACACCCACAATCTCTTTTAAAGGTTTAAATTTTCAGTTATTTTATCGATCTAATCATATTTATTACTATTCTTTCCTCATTTTTGTTACAATAATTTCTATCAATCTGTTTGCACCTTAATTTTGGTAATAAACTTTTTTTTTAAGAGAAGAGCAGCGCATATCAGATATTATAGAAATGAAAAATGCATTATAATCATTATTACAACAAATAAATATAATGTCTTTTTTCGGATTTTGATCAGTCGACAAACTCGCATTAAACGATTACGTTTATCTCACAAAAACACATAAGGTTTTATTGAAAAAAGCCGAATTTTATCGGCGTCAGAAATATGAATGATGCAAAGATTTATGCAAAAACGAGCAATGCAGAACTTGTGCTTGCGAAGGCTTTAATAAGAATGTGTTCTGTCCCAACTACATCAGGATCTCGAATATTAAATATAATATTTTTGAGTTTTAGACAAAGCAAAATCGCGACTTATAAAAACGATATTACAATATCAGATTCTTTTGTTTTGACGTTGAATATATTTTGCCACAGAATAATTCAGAATGAATGACAGAAAAGTACAACGAAAAATATTATCAGAATTCTTTACAAATAACGATTGTATTAATTAAGTAAATAGCAGCCCTATTATAATATATTAATTTATCAAAAATATCAAATCAATATCAAGACAGTTTCATCATATCTGAAACAGAGTTTTTCATTTTTTGAACATTAATTATCTCTTAACATTGCTTGACGATGACTACTTTATACTCCAATGATTAAGTATAGAAACTACGCGATTTATTAAGATATCTATTATGCATAGATATTAATACAGACATACGGGCATACGATTATTGTTAATTATTTAATCCGCATTGGTATGCACATTCCGCTGTTTAAACATTTGTAATAAACGCCGCGTATCGCACGTGAAATTTTACAGCGTATTTATTTACAAAAAGATAGTTCATATGGCGCGAAATAGTGTAGCTGTATTTGATTGTACCAAGTCAATATTAATCGGTCAACCATTCGATAACGTTTTGTAATTTCGCTTTCATCTCTCGAATATCGCATCGCAACTGGTCGGCATGCGCACGTGACGTGCGAAAAATGATCATCAGTGCTCTATGTGTTGCACAAGAAGAGAAAAGAGAGAAAAGAGAGAGAGAAACAAGATTACGCGCATATGTTACATTGTCATGTTACAGATGAGGAGGATCTCTTCATGGTATCGGATTTATTATTGGGCGGCGATCTGAGATACCATATCCAGCAAGAGATTGTGTTCAGCGAGGAGAGCGTCG